AGGACAAGTATTAGTTACCAGAGCTACCACTGAAAATACCCATACTTTGGTTAAATAGGGATAATAAAAAATATGAGATTTTTGTTCAAACCAGGATATAATGTTTACTGAAAACAGAAGGTTATTTGAATAGGTAGCTATAAATAAAGTATGATTCATATCTTAAAACACTACTACTTAATCAGATACAAGTTGTTCCCTTCAGTGTTATGAATTGTAATTTGGCTAGATAACAAGACCTTTCACTTCCAGTTACAAAACAAAGCATTTGTTGTCATTCTATCTAATTAAAAGCTAAAATAATTTTAAATTAAAATTACTGGAGGGAGACACAAAAAGACTCACAGGCACACCATGCTCCATTAGCACATTGGGGTTCATGATGGTGACTAACTGATGTAGAAGATCAGGCTGGGACTCAAACAACTCAGGGGCCAGCTCCCTCATCACCTCCTCCAGTTGTTCGGCGGCATGAGATGGCACACCATACCATGTCTTTGGCTCCCCCCTAGGGAAAGAAAGAACTGTTTAACTAGGTAACACATGGTACCAATGAGGCAAGGGTCTCTGATTCAAACCACTAAATTGTAATTAACTTTGTCTTATCCTATGGCCGCAGACTGTATGTCCCGAATCCTGGCAACCATCTCATCAGCCTGTGCTGTTGTTCGTAATAGGAGGTAAGGCAAGAATATGTGGATGGACAGATACATACTTATCACTATTATCAGAAAAGCAACTCAGAACACATGAACTCTTTAAGGTGGATTGGTGATAGTATCTTCAAACAGGAAAGACACTATATGAAAAGTAAGCACTGTTTCAAAGGATACTGACATACTACTTTGATTCACAGGTCCACTGGCTACTCCAATTATCCCCACAATGATCGAAGTCAGTTCAATGCTCTCTAGAATACCTCTAAATAACTTCATTGAGTTCAATTTTACTATCCAAGGAAATATGCCAAGGCTAGAAATTATCGAAACTTTAAATATAGTTCTATCTATAAACCTTAAGGATCAAAAACTTGGCATCATTAATCTACTAGTCTTTAGAAAACTAGAATTCATTTAGAAAACTAAGTTGTACTCTAAGGAAATGGATTTAATTAGTGAAGATATTTACAGGCAGTTGTATTTCTTAATCCTCACGCAATTCACAAGACTACAGAGCAGTGCTGTCCCCAATAGAACTTAACTGCAATGGTTAAAAATGTTCTATATTGGCCAGGTGCAGTGGCTCGTGCCTGTAATCCTAGCACTCTGGGAGGCCAAGGCAGGATGACTGCTTGAACTCAGGAGTTTGAGACCAGCCTGAGCAAAAGCGAGACCCCCCCCCCCATCTCTACTAAAAATAGAAAAAAAATTAACTAGGCAACTAAAAACAGAAAAAATTAGCTGGGCGTGGTGGTGCGCACCTGTAGTCCCAGTTACTCAGGAGGCTGAGGCAGGAGGATCCCTTGAGCCCAGGAGTTTGAGGTTGCTGTGAGCTAGGCTGACACCATGGCACTCTAGCCC